GAAGTTCATGTGGACCAAGGAATGTCAAGATGTCTTTATAGAGCTAAAGCAGCGGTTGATGTCATCCCTTATCTTAGCATATCCCAATCCTCAATTACTCTCCTTGTTGGACACTGATGCAACCGATATTGGCATTGGAGCTGTTTTGCCACGAGTTGAAGGAGGCCAGGAAAAGGTACTAGCCTATGCAAGCTGACCGTTAAAATAGCTGAGTGCCAGCATGCAACTATAAGAAAGGAATTGCTTATTTTGGTGGCCTTAACCAAATATTGTTGACATTTCCTCCTGGGGAGATGCTTCACATTAAGAATAGACATCACAGCTCTGCAGACTGCCCTGTGGTTCCACCTGCTGTTACACACATTATATTCACATTACGCATACACAGCACGGTGTAAGGTGGGGGTGCCAGAACAACTTAAACGGGATCTAGACCATCAAGATAAAGAGACAGCCCCCCCCCGCGCTGAAAACAACATCCCATCCTTGTTTTGTCTAGTAAGTGCCTGCCCAAAGAGAAGTTCTTACAGCACTTCTGAAAGATGTCTAGGCTCCGGTTCTGGTGAGCTTCAATATGCAATAGGCCATAAAGCAACCCTTTAACTACTTGAATATCCTTTGCCATCTGATCTGCCTCAGATCAATAAAAAAACTCCAAAATGAAGAAAACACAGCAACTAATTCCAGTCTTCCCTTCTAAGCAGTAACCTTCAAAGGACTATTTACAATTTAAGAAGGTCTGGTACTTAGGGTGGCTATTGGACCTGTTTTATACTGGACTATCCTGTTTTTAAATCCTTTGTCCCCTGGGCATTTTTGAATGAAGAACAGAAAGCAAAACGTCCTGCTCCTCAGTTAATTGGTGGAAATACATGTCAATCATTTGTCCTTGTGAGTCTGTTGGCTGTGCCTAGAGGTAGGCTGGTGCACAACCAGGAGGAGAGGGGTTCTGAGCCAGTCAGGGAGAGAGGGAGGTGGTGGCCCAACCGCTTGCTGTTGATTGGCCAAGGGGCCCATTGACCCCTCCACCCCTCACTGCTGATTGGCTGAGGCAGTGACCCTGCCCCTCATCACTGACTGGCTGAGGGTGCCCACTCCTCACCAAAGGCCTGTCCTGTATTCTGGGGATGCATCAGTGGCCACCTTACTGGTACTATATATCAAAAGTAGCTCTGACACCAGATCGATCTTGGATGTTTGTGTGCATTAAAAATGAAGAAAACTTCTGGAGGTGACTGCTATGCGCTAGTATAATTGAATCAAAGGCAACTGGATACATTAATTTAGGTATGACTTCTTAGATGGTAGTATGAAAGGTAACGAAGCATCAGGTTATTAATAGATTTTCTTTATCCCTATGTCATACTCTTAGGATTAATTTTTAATGAATGTATGCACCTTTATTCTTGAACCTGTCAGCCTTTAATCTGTATTAAATCTATCCTTTTTCATGTATTCTTGTTTTCTTTTTTTCTAGTTCTGTTATCCTGCCTGTCTTGTTAACTAGAATAAACTGGATGTTGATAAACTAGAATCAGAGTACACAAAACAAATTTCATGGATGCAAGGTGTCCAATTTTTCCCTTACTGTGAGTCCTGTCAGTAACCAGAGGGTATAGATATTTAACTACAGCTTGTGCATATAATGTTATCTTGGCTGCTGTCTCTACTCTAACCTGTAGGAATGGCTGTGATTACAGATAACTGGAAAGAGAAAAATTCTAACTACCACTTGCAGTCAGGATTATCCTGATATTGCATGCATCTAGAACCAGGCAGTAAATAAATCCAAAATCAAATGTAAAGAAAAGGAGTATCACTGGTTTTAATCAGTGTTTCCCCATTTAGGCCAGTGATGAATGTGACCTACTGTGTGGTGTATTATCCAGCTTGATTTTTTTAAATCCTTTTAGTGGCTTACTTTCTGGTTTCCTTATCTATTCCCCTCTAGCTTAGCTCTTGTACATGACAGACAACATTTTGAAAAGGGCTCCTGTGTACTATTGAAACTAGTGGGAGTAAAGCCAGGCCAACATGGTTTCCAAGCATATAACATTTTAAAATCAACGTGAAGTGTATTATCGCTTCTTTAGCTATGTAACACTGAAAAGTAGACTGCGACTGTATAAATATGACATATTGGTCATCTTTGATTTAGCTGTCCTAATGTGTTAAATATCTTTACTCTTTCACTATAGTTCACGTGAAAATAATTTGCAAATTAAAATGATTCTGTTGTTCAACTGGACCTCTGTTTTTAGTGACTTACAATCTATTTAATTTTGAATGATAAAGTGTCACTCCCACATGAACAACAACAATGGTTATGCATTTGTACAGCAGCTAGCACAGAGGTCTATGCTTAGGGTGGCTAGGTGCACCAGCAGTGCTAATAACTACTGTTTTTCTCTTCCACTGCTCCGAAGATTGCTGATGTTGGTACAAAGCCTTTGACAGAAGCTAGAACTCATAAGAAGAACCTTGACAGGATTTCCTTCAGAGAATGCAGATTCGTCAGAAGCAAATGCTTTGTGTGAAAATGTATTTCGTTTGAAATTTCTTTCAACAGAAATGTCCCAACAATGCTGTTTATTTCTTTTGGACACTTGGAAGAAAATGTTCTGACTTCTCATTTTGATTTAGACTTGCCTTTTAAATATAAGAACATGTATAAGAACATGAAGAGGGGGGCGGGGGAAGGATGGTTCAGTCTGTCTTAAACAAAAAATCGCTCTCTGGAATTTAACTAGCAACAAAGCTAAAGTTCAAAATCTTGAAACTCTTCCTGGGACAGGAGCTTCTTGGGAACTTCTGTCCCAACCACAACTATATATAGTATCACCATGCTGAAGCCTTATTTAACTACATGTAGGCTACACCTACATAGATGCCAGAGGTTGTAAGCTCTTCTAGTGAGGCACTTAACCCAGAGTAATACACCTGTCTTTTCATTTGGACTGTTTAGCACAGTATCCCACCCAGGCTAATGTGCCTAGACTGCTTCTGCAACCTGATCTAGTAATTCTAGTACCAAGGCAATTGAGGCATCTTTGGTTGTCTCTGCACAGTTCTGTGTTGTGTCATGCAGATAAGCACTTATTTGTGGGTTAATTTGAACAAACTGTTTTGGATCTGAATCAAATGGCAGGAAAATGTGGTAGAATCTAAGCGTCTGTTTGCTTACAGTTGCATTTAAGGTAGCTAGGAGTTCAAATCTGACCAGTTGTAACTGCACTTTTTTGGGGGGGAATAAAATTGAAAACAAAGGACTATGTCTTACCCCCTTTTAAATGTCTTTGACAGTCAAAGCCCATCTGTACACTTTCAGACAGGTGTTTAAATCTTCAGAATAAGGAAAAGGGTTTGCAAATAACTCTTTGGGTTTGCATGTGTGCAGTTATTCACCTATTAGTGTGTATTGCCTTTTTGATACTGTATTGGCAACTGCTAGCTCTTCTTTTCTTTTCTTTTTTTAATTAGGTCTTATATGCCTTGTACACACTTAAAACTTTACACTTCAAGCATAGGCTTGGTGTTAGTGAAGTAGAGCATAATATGACACAAATGAAGAAAGAAGCTAATGTGTCCATAAGGTGAAAAGACACTGCACTCATGTGGATTTTCATCCTTCATGGTGGTTGTTAGTAAATATGAAGGAAACTTGTCCCCTTGGGCTACTATTGCTTTTCTCTAAAAATTATTCTGTTTTAGAGAAACACCATTTCCCCCTCCCCCCTCTGAACATGTTTACTTGAACAGAATTAACAAGAGTCTCTTGAGGTTGCCTTCTGTTGCTAAAGCATCCAACAGTAACAAATGACATACATCTTCTAGGAACAAGTAAATGCGATTATGACAGATTCATGAAATAAAGGGAAAATGCATTGCTCCAGTCACCGAAAACATATGTTAATAAGTACAACATATTATTAACTAAATCACATTTTCCACTGCATTAAACAAGCCTAAACTAAAACATTGAAGCCAATGATATTCAAGCATGACTTAACAAACTTTCATTTAAACATTATGACCAGAAGTATGTAATTATGCATTTCCAGAATTACTCATTAAAACAGAAGCTGCTTATAATTTGATCTTATGCTTTTGTTTTTTGTTGTTGTTAAGCAAAAAGCTAACTCACCAAAACCCCTTTTTAATAGGAGACAATTTCTGTAAAAAAACATTCAGATATATTGGTCCCCCTCAATGTGTGGATTTTTAATTTTCTTCTTGAATCCTTTTCGGCATGCTATGCTGCAAAGTTGGGTGATAGTATATGCCACTAAAGCAAAACAAGTTGTGGGGGTTGGCCCAGTTCTGCCTTCATTGAAGGCCACGAGTTCCAATGCAATAATACTTACCATGTCAACTGCAAAGATGTCACGAAGAACAATTACTCAGTTTTTAAAAAGTGCTTAGTGATTAGAGGTACCTTGAGTGCTAATGTGAGAAACTCCAAACCAGCCTTATTTTGAATCCTCACAGGTATTCCGGCTCCAGTAAAATTTTTAGAAAAGCACTATGAAACTTGAGGAATTCAAAATGACTTGTTATTATAAAAAAGTTGTTTGTTCTATTTGTTTTTATTGGGCCATACAGTCAACGAGCATTTAAACTTGCTACTAAATCCTGAGGGTCGATGTCTACACCAAACTGGGCTTGCAAATCAGATTGTATTCACACAAGCCCCCTTTTATGTCTAGATTGATCAGCTGTCCTGCAAAATGTCCATTGACATGAGAAATTCTAAGAGCAACCCCATGGCATCTGCATGTAAGTGAAACAACACAGATGAAAGTTTGTGTGTACCTTGGTAACAGGTCACTGAACTTCTTAAAATTCATAATAGTGTTCTTTTGCAGATGCCATTTGATGAGCAGGCATCATTGTCAAGCTAAAACCCTTTCTTTGCAAGCCCAGATGATGACTAATATTGGGTAAAACATTAAATAATTTAATGATGAATTCTAATAGCCCACTGTGCTTTATTCTTCTAGGGAATCAGTAGCTTGTTCAGCTCACTTAAAGTAGTCAGACTACTTCGGCTGGGTCGTGTGGCTCGGAAGTTGGATCATTACATTGAATATGGAGCAGCAGTCTTGGTTCTGCTGGTGTGCGTTTTTGGTCTTGCAGCTCACTGGTTGGCCTGCATTTGGTACAGCATAGGAGATTACGAAGTTATTAATGAGGATACAAACACAATCCGAACGGAAAGCTGGCTTTACCAGCTAGGGGATTCCATAGGAACGCCTTACCGATTCAACGCGTCATTTGGAAAATGGGAAGGAGGGCCGAGCAAGGATTCTGTTTATATTTCCTCGTTGTACTTCACAATGACTAGCCTCACCAGTGTTGGATTTGGGAATATTGCTCCGACTACAGATGGAGAGAAGATCTTTGCTGTTGCTATGATGATGATTGGCTGTAAGTATCAGAGATTCCATTTTCCATACGCAATGGCCTGTAGTCAGAGTCTTGCTGTAAATGTTAGGCAGCATGTCAACTGTTCCTAACCAAGTTTTAAAAATTAGCCTTGGAGGCAAATCTAAATGTTATTATGCAGACTGCTTTCTGATAAGAAATGTTACCAGGATGTGTGAAATTGTCTCATGTTGCAGAATATTACAATGACTTGTTTCTGCACCAAAACATAGTTGAATTTCTGCTTACATTTAAATGATTCAATATAACAGAATCTACACACTCTAGACTAACTTACAAGATTCCATAGCTTGCTTTTTTTCCCCGCTAGATGATTTTACAGAGCTTACATCAAAGTAGGAAAGTCCTGCTTGATGCCACAGATTAGTTTCACAGTGTACTGAGAGGGGGAAGGGGGAATATGTAGAAGTATTTATTTACTTAAACATAAGATGACCCTGGTTATAAGATAACCACCTCCCAATAGTTAGATTAGATATATGGAAAAGTTATGAACTTATTATAATTGCCCAGGTATAGAATCTAATTATTGGAGGTTGGCCTTGAATTTGTCCCCCACCCACTGCTACAGCAGGGAAAATAAATCAGGGGGGGTCAGGTAGCCCCCTTGCCTTCTGCTTCCCCCCCCCCAGCTTCCTTTCCCTGCAGCCCATTTCCCTCTTTACTGTCAAATCCTGCTCTCCCTGAGCACATGGAAGTGAGAAGCAAATTTGAAAACACTGACCTTGAAATGAAGTGTAGCTGTAGCAATTTGCACATAGTACCCTTAGACTTAGTTCATCCAGAATTGATGCATTTTACCTTTTTTTAAAACTGCTGCAAGTTTTAGCACAGGTCCTATATAAACAGACTCTTAAGAAGCACTTTGGCACCTACTTATATGTAGAACAAATACATATGATATATATATAGAACAAACCCATGTTCAAAGCCAAAATGTTCAGAATTTACCATATAGTTAATGGGGTTGGGTCTCACCAGTCAACAGCATTTCAAGCCATGGTGACCCTACAGCTCAGCACTGCTCAGTGTGTGTGTGTGTGTGTGTGTGTGTGTGTGTGTGTGTGTACTCCAGATACCCCCCCGCCCCACAAAAAAAA